TGAATCCGGAACGGCCCGTTTTGAAACCAGAACGGTTCGTTCCAATTTCAGAACGGCCCGTTTTGGTGCAGTCGTTGGTGTTAAATATTACATCTGGAATGTTTGTTCCGGATGCAAAATTTACGCACCATGAGTGCAACCAGAACAGTCCGTTCCGGTTTTAGAACGGGTCGTTCTGGTTTCAGATGTATGAAAAAATTAAGCATCCACGTATGCATCCATGTCCGCATCCAACTGACGTCCACATCATCAGGAGTTAACTCCGTTTAAATCATTTGGACGAAAGTATCAAATTACAATAATTTAAATTATTGGAGACCAAATTAAAACAAAAAATTAAAATGGAACTAAATTAAAACAAAAATATTATATGAGACCAAATTAGATTTTTAACCAATTAATTACATAAGAATAGTTTTAATGAAATGCTATGCGAGTTCCTTTAGGTAGTGTTTGTTTCTAGTGATGTACTGTTTACGAGCAACAAAAGGCGAAGAAAGTGAGTGTTTGTTTCCGGTGATTTGCAACGAAGGAAAGACGAAGAAAAGCGGGGAGAAGCACTGTTGTTGTCCTCGCACAAAAGCGAAGAAAAGAGACGAAAGACACGTAGGATTTGTGAAAACCCAGAAATACTTCATCCCATGCATGTAGAGGAACCAAGCATAATTGATTATGCAAGCCACATAATCGATTATGGGCTTGCATAATCGATTATGTTGAAGCATAATCGATTATGCATGCCACATAATCAATTATGGGCTTGCATAATCGATTATGTTCAGGACATAATCGATTATGCAAGCCCATAATCGATTATGTGGCTTGCATAATCGATTATGGTGGCCTATCTTCCCTTCCAGGCGAATCTAGAACGGGCCGTTCCAAAATTGGAACAGCCCGTTCTAAATTACCAAAACAAGAGCAATTTAGTATCCTAGAACGGGCCGTTCCGAAACTGGAACAGGCCGTTCCAAACTAGAAAATTGGCTTAAAAATCTTAGTTGAGAACGGGCCGTTCCAAATTGCATAAAATGCAACCCCAAATTTGTAATTTAAAAAATTTCTCAATTTTTTAATTGGTAAAAATTAATTTATACAATTAATAAATATATCTTCATTTCATTCTAATTTATGTCAATGATTTATTAATTTTTTTAATTTATTAATTAACTTTCAAAAAGAAAATTGTACATTTTTTTATATTAAAAAATTCTATTATTTAAATATTGACATAAAAAAGTAGAAATATAAAAAAATTTATTATTATAAAAATTATTATTATTTTCATTATTATTAATATTATTATTATTTATTATAATTAGTATCATTATTATTTATTATGATTCTTATTATTTTTCTAATATTTATTATTATTCTTATCATTATTTATTACTTTTTTAATAAATTATACCTATTAATATAATTTTATTGTAATTATTATTATTTACAATAAATAATATTATACTCATTTTTAATCCAAGAGTAAAAGTGTAAATTTATATTCATCTATTAAATTTTTAATTTTTATCTATCATTAAATTTAAAGCAAATATTTAAATTAAATTATTTTTAAATTAATATTTTATATTTATTTTTTTAGTTAAAATTTATATATTTATCTTTTAATTATAATAATTATAAATTTTATTTTAACCTAAGGGCAAAATAGTAATCTTACACAAATATTAATTAAAAAATTCATTTTTCTCTATCACATCAATCAATTCACTCACAAACTTTCTCTACACTTTCCACTCACTTTCCCTTAATCCAAACAACCTCACTTTTCACTCACTTTCCCTTCAAATCCCTCCTTTTCCATTTCTCATTTTCCATCCTCAAATCCAAACAAAGCCTCAGTGAGTTAACCTGCCATCCAGTAGCCTTAGAGTCCTCACTTTATGTTCCTTCATACCGCACTTAATTATGACCTCAAGATTTTAGGGATTCCTTGGAAAATTCCCAGGGTGATGTACGTCTCGTGACTTCAACAAAATGAATTTTTCCCGACATAAATTATTAGTTTTAGTAACAATAAAAATCACTACTACTTATTTTATCAATAGCTACTATATGCGGTATAATGGTCATGATCGAGAAAAATGATTCCATTTTTGTAGTATTTTTATTAATATTTAATATTTTTTACTATTATTATTAAAAGTTTAAAAAATGATTCCTAATTATTATATAATTTTTAATTTTCTTATTTCTTATCGATGTAAAACTTGTAAAATAAGGATTGTCTTCTATATATATACCTTTTAATTATTTTATTTTTAGTTAATGTGAGACTTGAATTTTTTTTTTCAATACATCTTCAAATTTAAGACTATTGAACTTGATTCTCAAGTCTTTTAAATTTAACATTATTGAGCTTGATATATGAATAATTGGTTAGCGGGTGATGATATTATCTTAAAAAGTGAATTACAAGTCTAACACAATCCTACAAAATTAATTTATTACTCTTTACTTATATATTCTTTAATTGTTTTATTTTTAGTTAAATATGAGACTTAAATTTTTTTTAATAAAATAAATTAAAAATTACTCTTACTTTTTTACTTATAATTTATAATAATTAATTTTATAAATGTATTTTTAGTAGTTATTATTTATTAACAATTAATATCTTTATTATATAATAAAATAAAAATAATTAATTTATTATTACTAAATAATTATCTCTAACGATAAATTTTAGTATAATGAATTCTCGTTATCCAATCATGAGTATTAATGCGAAAACATTTTGCTGTATGAGTCAGACTAACTCTGACTTATATGTGTCAGAGTGGACCTCTCCACATAAGGTTGGATAACATATTTGCCCACCAGCCTCTAGCGCTTGGCACGACGAGTCTGTGAGGCCCTTAAGGCAGATTTCATGTTTCTCCATAAAAGCAAAAACTGTCATTGAATCAAGCTAATTTTGTGTCAATCTAATATAACAGGGAATGACTCTTAAATGAATTAACTTTCTAACAAACTTGAGATTGTAGGAATATGAAATTGCTAGGCAACAGACAAGGAACGAGTGCAGATTCTAAGTTATCTGCCCATTGTAAGAACTTATGAAAACACTACCTTACTCATATTTGAGTGACACCACATTATAGTATAAAAAGATATGAGGGAGGGACTCACGAAATACCCTTTTAATAAGATACAATTTAAAATACAAGACAAAGACAAAAAGTACAAAACAACTATTTTAAGTTACAAAATAATTTTTTAAAAGTTTATATCTTCATATGAAAATAAGTAAAATAATATAAATTTTACTGTAATACCCTTTTTAATATATCACAACGCTGTAAAACTAGAATACGCTATCTTCATCGGTCTTGTTTTATTGCATGCAAAAAATCATGTCAGTTTTAATAATAATTTGGGTATTTTCTGATAGGAAAAATGTTTCTAAACTTGTTTCATCGAATGTGTGCCAAAAATCATTGTACCATGCCCATCCACAATATAAAGAAACGGTGACAAGATAAAAAAAAAAATTTAAATATAAATTATAAGAGAAACTGAAGATTTCACGGAGATTTCATTAGTATAAAATATAAAATTTACCTCTCTTATTTCAACTTTTTTACGTCGTAAAATAGTTTGATGTCAATGCGGGAGACATAAATTTACATCAGTTGAGTTAATCGACGTAAATTTTTGGCGGACATCGCCAGGACTGACATAAAATTGTTTCTAGCAAGACAATCTATGCCTCCGCCTCCACCTCCACCTCCACCTCCTCCAAAACTCATTCACATATAAGTTATTACATAAGTCACCCATGGATCTGTACATGAGGAACCCACAGATATGAAAGATCTAGAAAATCGCCGTGACTGAAAACGCCCATAGGTACTCGAAGAATCCTTTGTCAGAAATCACAGTGACTGAAACTCATACAATAGTTTATGGTTTCTCGACCCATCAAGATTCATACACAATGGAAGGAAGCCAAAACTCATTCATATATATATATTAATCCCAAATCGTTCAAAACCCAGAAAACGCCCTTCACCAGAATCCAATCGGTTAGAAACATCAGGAATCACTCACGGATGACGTGAAGCCTTTCGCTGGAACTCGTCGTCACTCAAAATACCTCCAAGTACTCGAGCAACCCTTCATTGGAAATCACCTGAAAACGGTCAAATAGATGTAATATCGCGCACGCAAAGAAGACAAAGGCGCCCAGGAGAATATAAAAAGCTTTTTTTACGTCGAACTACACAGAAGTTTGACATAAAGTTTTAAATCTATGTCAGACTACATAAGGGTCCGACGTAAAAAAGTTGGACTTAAAATCATATGACTTTTGGAGATTTCGTTCATGTGTAATATGATAATCTCACAAAAAAAAAAAAAAAAATATATATATATATATATATATATATGCAAGAGAAAAATCTCATTTTAATTATAAATTAATTTTGTAGAGATTGAATTAAGTTAAATCTCACATTAATAATATAAAAGAAATTATCTTATGAATTATTGTTAACTTATCAAACCATCATTTATCAAACCGTTATTAAAAGACTATTATTAAATAATCTGTAATATTTATTTTTGCAAACTTTACATTTCAAATATCATATTTGCATAATGAAAATAATGTGTAAAAAATTTTACATCGACTAATTAAATAATATAGTTAGAATAAAATATATAAATATGAGTCAATCTTTATTTTATAAGTCAATTTTATTGAAATTAAATTAAACTCAAAATTCATATTTATATGAGATTTCTACGCCGATCATAATTAAGAATTATGCTGCATGATTGAAGAACAATTTTAATAGAATTAAATTAGATTCAAAATTCATATTTCCATTAGTTTTCTATGGCGATCTTAATTAAGAAATTGTTCTACATCATTGAAGTGCTAATATATAGATCGATTTCGGTGGAGTAGAAGACCATCACAAAAGCAGGCCAATGCCCTGCCAAACACGCAACAAAACAAAACCACAAACACATGATGACAAAAGGTCACTAACAGGAAATTAAAATATAACAACGCGACAGTGTGAGTTGCTGTCCCTTAAGATCCCCCAAGTGTTACCCATTTATTTGTAATGCTTCCCACCAAATAATCATTAAGCCTAAGATAATGAAAGTGCAAAACACAATGATCAATCATTATACACAAAATCCAAGCAAATTATCTCATATAGTTTACACAAAACTACAAGACCTTATACCATTTTGTTTCTAGTATTTACTCCATATTTCTTATAAATTTAACGTGAAACTGACTACACCAATATTAATCATTAATTTACTACATGACAGTGCATGCATTTGGGTTTTCATCACTGAAAATTTGTATGTAGCGGTCGTCCACCGTGGTTTCTGATATGTTGGCAGTGTCAGCCACCTTCCTCACCATGTTAGGAGGTGCCTTCTTATCATAGGCTTGAGAAACATAAGGGTTAGCCACCATAGTGTACGGAACGTATGGCCACAGCTCAACCTTCTTCTTAGTAGACTTAGCTGCCTTAAGCACTTTCTTTGGCTCAACATATCCTGTCACTGTTGCTTTCTGCTGCTTCAAGTCCACTTCCACTGATTTTGCTCCTATTCAAAATTTTAAATTTTCCTAAGTTGATGAAGTGAAGGACATAACGAGTCATTATAATACAAGTTAAAAGTGTTTCTACTAAAAAAAAATTTTTTAGCAGAAAAATTCTCAAAATCTCTCTAAGTTTATATACAAATTAACTAAACAACATCTTGCAAATGATCATACATTTTGGAGAAGAAATTAAAGTACCTTTAACGCCAGAAAGCACATGCTTAACTTTGCGTGCACAGCCTTCACAGTCCATTCTGATTTTGAGAGCTACAGTTTGGGTTTGCTTCTTCTTCTTCTTTTTGGTGCTGCTGAGTAGGTCAGAGAAGTATTCCAAAGTGCCTTGTACTCCCATCTTCTGGTTCTCCTTGTGTCAGCTCAAGATGATGCTTGCTCTAGGATCGATATAAACTGAGAAGTGATATCAATTATGTATAATCCAACCTTTGTGAGTGTGTATATATAGATAATCAGCCAATCAAGCTAGGTTTAGTAAGAAGAAAATCTATGGCTTTAGTTGAAGCTTTATTATGATTAAGAAAGACTAATTTAATGTGTCAGAAAATATAGAAAATGACCAGTCGTTATTTTTTTTGTTTCAAAAGGTAGGGTATGTGGTGAAAAACAAATATGACCAAGTGAACAATATCTTAACGATCAGAAAGGATACAAACTAATTAATTAAGTAGTGACAACTGATATGAGGAGGTTAGGGTGCCTTAACTCCTTGCCTGTACGTTCTGGCTTTATGTGTATTTGCATGTACTGATCGATTATCCAACAGGTGGACAATTAATATGTATGAATAGACAAATTAAACGATCAATAATAGAGAAGTTGGGCTGTCCTAGTCAACTAGACTATTCTTATTTTTGTATTCAAATTCATATATCACCTATAAAGAATGACATAAAATTAAGAGAGAAAGGATAGTACTATTCAAGATTCAATGAGCAACTATAGACAAGAATTGGATCTTACTATACTATATCACTTAATTAAACCTTGGTCCTTTTCCTCTTATTATATATTAATCTAAGGCAAGGGAGGAAGGTGCAGAGTTTGGTGAGTCCATAGAAATATAACATTATTAACGTCAAAGTAAAGCACGGATCCAATTTGCTCCCAAAATCAAAGATTAATTAGTTGTATGTATTGGAATTATTTATAGCAAAAAATGAGTTTAATGCTTGGAGGACAAGAAATTTGAAAGTAAGCATTCCATCAGTAAAGTACAAAATCTATAATATTTGTTGTGGGCTGAGGGAAAAGAGCGTAGTCCCCCGTCACAAGTTTGAAAAAATCCACCTAATATTTTTGTAACAATGCATGGGAATGAATAATTGCGGATCCACAAGCTTGGATGGCACCAGCAGTTGACACGTTGCACAAACATCTGGGGGACACTTGCTTATGGAGACCCAATCGTAGATTTTCAAGTCACGTGGCACCATGGTGACAACATTCTTTTCATAGATTGTCCAGTAGAAATTGTCCACTTGTCAAACTACACCGTATGGCACTGTTGGATACATTAAAATTATGGAGAAGGAAAGGAACACAAACGATAAACAAAAGCACAATGTGTTTGGCTTTGGCTACTGTGACACATGGCTTCAATATACATTGTGGATGAATAATGAAAAGCACCATCTTTGGCCATTTTAATTTTAATGTGCGAAAGTGCTGTATATCCATGAAAATGAAGTTGTCCCTTTGTTTGTTTTCTCCGATTCTACTTATTGACAATTTTTTAATTTCTTCATAATCAAATGCTGATAACGGAAATCTAATATTTGTCAATAAGACAAATTTGAATTTGATCTAATCCTCTGAGACAGGCAAGTTAAAATTAATCAATTAGGAGGATGTCACCTTTGTGTGGTTTATTGTACAAGTCTAGAAGATACCTAAATAAATGCAAATCCAAGTCCAGGGCCACGCCTGTAATGGACTATTCGGCCCAATTATGAATTGACAGAATAAGGATACATAAATTTTAGGTTAAAATATTCTTTTAAGTTCATCAAATTTAATTAAATTAAATTTTTTTTAGTTTATATAATTTTTTTAAAGATTATTTTAGTTTTTATATTCAAAATTTGTTTAAAATTATGTTAACTATTATCATATAAAACTTATCAATTATTTTTATTAATAAAAATATCATATTAAATCTACTTAATATTATATAATTGTTTTAATTTATCATTTTTAGATATGTTATTAATGATTTGAGAGAATTTTTTAAAAATTATAAGAATTAAAAATAATAATTTTAAAATTTAAAAAATAAAAATAAATTTACTCAAAATTTAAGAGATTAAAAATATACTTAAACTTAAATTTTATTAGGTGTGTTTCTAATTCTATATACTGAATTTTATCTTAACGACCACACCGACATTTTATATATAATACTTGTTCTGTCGTGTACGAGTGATGATCTTTCTAAGTCAATGTACTGCTCGAGCGGCTAACTACCATATACCATAGTAAACATTATATTCTTGGACGTTTGATTATATTGTGGGCTTGTGTGTCATGCAAAGTGAGTCTCTGAATTGCCTTGGTAATTAAGGAAAAACAACAGGCACAGTTGTATTCTTTAACAACATAATGGAAGGAAGAAAAATTGTGGAGAGCAAAATTTCTCTTCATATAATTTTAACTCTTCATAAAATATTGGGAGATTCTTTTTTGGGGTAAGGAGGGGGAAAGGGGATTAAAATATTTTGACTGTAATTTTAAAATGTCTTCACTTATACTTTTTAATTTAAAAATATAAGAATATAAAAGTAAATTGAATTTTAAAATTTTTCTCATCTTGTGAACTAAACAAGAATAAAGTTATCTTTTTTTTTATTTTATTAAAATTTCTCTTACTATTTTCTCTAAATCAAATAAAATTTATAATCTCTCTCCTCCCCTCCATTAAAATTTACATTTATTTTCTAATAAATTTGCTTAACAAGAATAGACTTAAGTCTAATATTTTCTTGATGAATGAAACATTTTTTTCCACGTGACAATCTAATTAAATAGATTAGTAAAAATCTAATTCTAGGATATATATCATGATGAACAAAAATAGTTACTCAAGTTTTAAAGTATTCGAGATGTTGAATGAATTTTCTATTTTTATATATTTATATATTATTTATATTTATCATTTTCTGTTCAATCTATTTGTTTGACTTATCATAAAAAAAAACTAGAATTTATTATATGATACACACACTTTGAGCATCATTATTTACTCATAAAAAAATCTATTTTTAAAATGAAGACAAAGTTGTACCATTAAAATAAGCTTTTTTCTTATTTATATATATATATATATAAAGGAAATATTCACTTATTCGAAGTAAATTTATCTAGATTTACTTTATTCAATAATTTATATTTTATATCAAATTTTAACGATCTAATTATTGAATTAAAAATTCTTAATGCATATATCTAGTATGTGAATTTTTAATAAATTTAAAAACTATGTGATATTTTGTTATACAAATTCAAATCAACGTATTAAATATTTTTATGATCATCCATCAATTTGAATTAATGAAATGAAATATCAAATAATTTTAAAATTTTTTAAAAAAAATTGCTAAATTGGGTTATGTTTAAGAACTTTTAATTTAACCGTTGAATTGTTAAAATTTAATGTATAACATAAATTATTGAGTTGAGTAAGTTTAGATAGACGTACTTTTAAAGTAAATAGTTCCCTTATATATATATATATAGAGAGAGAGTGTGTGTAATGTGAGAATAACATTTTTATGTGAAAATGAGAACTATTACTTTCAACTATATGATTAAAATAAAATGTCACAATTAAAACACTCATTAAAATAACCTATCAAATTAGTTTTTTAAAATTTTCTAACTTATTTTTTTTTTACCATTATCATTATCACTATTGTCATACTTATCATTGTCTTAGAAAAATTATATGAAGATTAAATTATTTCAATCTATTACAATCAAAATAAATGTTTAGATAAGTTTGCTGAAAATTGATTTTGAAAAATCTAATTTCATTTGAATACATCGAAAAATTAATTTTTACATAATAAATTAACTTTAAAAGAAAAAATATCAAAGAATAATCAAATACGTGTTTCAAATTTTCATATTCATAAAAACAGCTGATCCTTAAGGGAAAAAAAACTATAAATTTCAGTTAGTTTCCGAGACTAACTTCATATTCTACAAACACATTTTTCCATAAAAAAAAACTGAAAATTAGAAATAACATCTCTCCAAAACACACTTAACGTGTAGACATACAATTATGTGTTTTAGGCTTTTTTATTTGCATTAAAATATTCTTCAACTGAAAGTGAAAGCTATTTTAAAAATAAAAAAAACATAACATATAAAGATTACATGAGTGAGTACTGAGTTTTATACTTTTATCTCTGTTAAAGACTTTTCCATACACACCTGACCATGAATAGAAATTAACCTGTAGCATATATACTTTAAGGAACTCGTGTATGTTGATTTGTAGGCGAAATGAGTTCTCCAAATTTTTGAATTGGGTATTTGGATTTTGACATATAAATATCAGATTCCAAAGTGGCATGAAACTGAAGCTATATTAGCTGTAGCTGCTTTGAATACCAGCCCTTCCCAATAACCTATATTAGCTGTCAATGGTGGATTATCTTTCTCAAAGCATTTGAACTGCAATAGACTGAGAATGAGATCACCATCACCATCGTGTGTTTTTGGGTGCCACTGTTCTCTGTTAACTCACTCATTTTATTTTCTGTTAGGCTCCGCTTCATTTTTCCTTATTCTTCTCCGAAGCTAGTCCGTCAAATTTGGTTATTACAATATTCCTGATATTTTTTCTTCTTTCTATTTTCTTATTTTCTATGAAGCTTGGATTATCTTCTTAATATAAAATAATTGTCATTGAAATCTAGTTATTTGTTGTTATGCCACTAGTGGCACATAAATTATTGTACATAAATTCGATATTCCTTTCATTTAAAGTCTGGGGCGTCTAATAAATTTCATCATAAAATGATTGCAATTTTGAGGTTTTCATAAATTTAACATTGGGTATCAAGGACATATTACAACCTTGTTCTCATACCCCAATTTGGGTCCAGTTGTCCTATAGCAGTCTTTGAATCAGAGTAGAACTAGAAGCATATATATATATAACCTCTATATCCAAGATCGACTTTTAGCACCATTGACAAGGGCAAGAATTTCTATGTGAGTAATAGTAGAGATGCCCTTATAACCAGGTTAAAAAACTTATAATTCAACTTCACACGAAATCCTCAAGACTCCTCCAAATCCAGCTAGTCCAGGATTTTTATATCGTTTCAACTAATAAAAGTTGGCTCTAACATGTTAGAAAAATATTTAAAATTATCTTTTTTAAAATAAAGTTACAATCATATTGTCTAACCAGTCCGTTTTGATACCGACTAAAATGAGGGAGAAGGGGTAAAAGAACTAAAGTCAAAAATTCAAAGCTGTCTGTTTGATGATTACGAAAATGAATAGTTAGATGAGTAAAAAACTATACTGATAAATTGAAAATAAATTTGTAATTGGTTGTAGTTTTTTAAGTTTAGTATAAATTTATTTTTAATATCTCAAATTTATAATTATTATTTTTAGTCTTTATAATTTTTAAAAATCTTGTTTTAGTCGATCAAATCATCAATAATATAT